ATATTTTTTTTGGTTGATTGTTTTTTTGGTTTTTTTAGCAAACCAATTTTTTTTGTTGTTTATAAACTGTATAAAGCAATATTGTTTATAAATTCCTCTGGGTTCCTTCTAGATGAAAGGCCCTGTGTAAATGTTATTACTCTCACACTGTCATATACTTTCCAAAACTCTTCTATTGTTCTTGTACTTCCTTCTGTTTAAATATCACCCATAAAATGGAGTAAAAGAGTAAATGAGCAGGATGGACCCACTGAGAAATCAGGTTTGCCACGCAGGGCCTTTTTTCCTTACTTATCTATTACTATTATTATTATTATTATTATTATTATTGTTGTTATTATTATTATTACAGAGATCTCCTTCCCTGCCCACTCCACCATCTGCACGTTGATGGTCCCAGTGGGTCTCTTCCAACTCAGGAATTCCATGATTTTTAGGATTTTACTGTTACTCCACAGGACCAAGCACAATCCCAGAGCTTTTGCTAAAAATATCAGTAGCCTTTCATGTTCATTAGGCCTGGATGCTTAATTTAGCACCAATCTGATTGATTTCAGGGCAGTGTTTAATCTCAGGTTAACTTTCTTTTTTTTTGTTCAGACTTGGACAGTGATAAATAATAGAAGTTGCCACTGGGGCTGTTTCTGTGCAGGACAATGTCAGATGGCTTCTTCTGCCCTTTAACATTAAGGATTTGGGTGCTTTAGATAAAAATAACTTATATAGAAACAAAGAGCACTTCCTGTTTTACATCTAATTTGTAAAACTGTCAGAGCCAGGAGATATGACAGACAGACATCTTGGGGACTGAGGCCTCTGTTGTGGCTTTATGCAGCATTTCTGTTGTATTTACATTTTCCTGCAGCGGAGCAAAACCTCCTGCAAGCACCAAAGCCATTTGTTCCCATAAATCCACCACGGTGCCCTAAAGACCTCTCTGAGAAGTGTTTCAGCATTATCCTGGAATGGTGAGACACTGATTCCCACAGCCAGGAAAAAAACACTCTTATAAATAACACTGTTAAAAAGAAAAAGCAAAATTAAATCAGCATTTCTCAGGGAAAAACACCATGAAGGGGTAGGTGCTCGTATAGATGTGGGTGTATAAAAATTAAAAGTGCTTATAGCAATCCACAGAGACATTCTTGGCTCTTCTTCACTGATCAAGAAAATCCTGTGACTCAGGAGCTCCCTTCCCACCTGCCCCGAGGACTTTCGAGCTGAGCTGATCCCCCACGGACAAAGGAATCCTGTCAATTATTATCCCATGTGGGATAAGCAGGAGAAATGCCCACAGCTGAGGAGGGAAACACACACAACTTCTTGAAGAATGTGAATCTTCAGGCATTAAACCTCTTCATAAGACACCCAGTGTTTTTTACTTCAAAGCCAAGAGCTCAAGCACTTCCTATGAGCCCATCAGAGAAAGGAATTCCAACAGAAATGTCCAAAAAAAGCCTCGAAGACTTCCAGACCAGCCTTGTGACAAACTGAAACCACCAAATTATTCCTTGTGCGTGAATGTGAGAGCAACAGCAACCCCAAATCCAACCTGCAGATCAGAGCACCCAACTCCATTTGGTTTGGGGCTTTTATTTACTTGGAGAGGTGCAGGACATTTAACATCCACCGCCTGATTTTTGGCTTGTGGTGAGGAGAGCCTTTTGAGACTTTCTATACAATAAACTACTCTGACTAAAATCTGCAAAATTACCTCTCAGGGCTCTACAGAACAGCATCAATAGAAATGTGGTGCCAGCTAATGGCTGCAATAACTGTCTCCATCCCTGGGGAATCACGGATGGAGAATATATCAATATGAGGAGTGGAAGGGCCAGGGAAGCTGAGCAGGCCCTCGTTATCGGACACAGGATGATGCCACATGCATGATGTTATCTGGGAGGATCTTTACTCAGGGCCCAGGGGGTGGGCAGGATATTCTTGATGGAGAAGGAAAGTATCCATCAGGCCATATTCATAACCATCAGTGTTGCACTAAGTAAGCAGTTTTGGGGTGAGGAGCACTGATGGAATAGAAATCAATGGAATTCAGCTTTTCTGCAGCTTTTGTTTAGAGCAAAGTAGGGGCAAAAAAAAGCCTGAGCATCACTTTGGTTTCTGTGTATCGCTTTGGTTTCTGATCCTTCAGTCACGTACTGAAAAGGCTCTGAAGGAAATCTGAAGTGAACCACAATAAAACTCTGAGCTATTTAAGAATCTATTTAAAATCCACATCTTGACACTCACAACCAGGAAAGGAAACACATTCTTAACATAAGCATCAAATGATTTTTTATTTTTTTAGTTTGGCCACATGAGCACCTAAATCACTGCAGGATGTGAAATTCCTGCTGGGCTTTCTCCTCCCCTCGGTGTCTTTTCTTAGGGCAAAGGAGCTGGCTGCAAGCACAAGGAGAGCAGTGATGGATGGAAGTGACTGCCATGAGACTGATGTTCTGCCTTCTCCTAGCAGACATTTAAAAATCAGAACACCCCACAGGGTAGATTAGGGGATATCCTGGTAATTTTTCTACAATAGTTACAGCATGTTTTCCCTCCACGTTTAAGCACCTGTCTTAAATTCCCTCTCCCAGTCTGCAGCACCTGTACACTGAGCTGTTGTTACAAAGGGCACAAATAAAACGTGCTGGCTCCCTGCCATCCAAGTCAAATCAGCACATTTCCATGTAATCCCATGCAGGGGAAAACAAAGGTTGCTGGTTCTATGTCAAACTCGCTCAGGAAAAATCAGGAAATGCAGGAGTTAAAACATTCCAACAGCAGCACGAACTTCACCATCTACATCCTGAATATTTTATGGTGTATTTATTGTAACAATATATTAAGCTACACATCCAACCACAAAAACAAAAACAGAAAGACAAATACTCCTCATGTGCATGGCAGCTGCATTAGCATTTCTGAGGAACTTCAGAATTCCTGACACTGCTTTTAATTGGACATTCTGCATTTCATTTCTATGTAGAAAGAATCAACAAAACAGAGCAGAGCTCCTGCTGCATGTTTGTGTTGTCTCAGTGAGGTTCTAAGGCTCACACACCACTTAGTTGACAGGGATGGAAGATTTGATTTCCACACCATCACCAAATCTTCTTGAAAAAAAAAGATTTTCTTTTCCTTAAAAGTAACAGAAAACCCTTCAAGGAGTCAGTGATCCTCAGTAATATTTCTGACCTTTGTGCCCTCCCTTCTGACCAAAACTAGTCAGAGAATCTTTTTCATGCTGTCAAATTCTTTGGGCAGGCAGAGACATCCTCACAGCTGAGGTGCACCAGCATCAGTCTGGACAGGCTGCCCCAATAATGCAACCCAAAAGGCCTCTGAGACCTTTTCCTGAGCTTCCTTTTCAAGGATTTCTATTTTTTTAATTGATACTGGCACTGTCCTTTAATAACTATTTTTTTAAAGAGCCACAGCCAAAGAAGGCAGTCGTGGCCAGTTGGCTGCCTCCCAGAAATCCCTGCAGCTAACGAGGGAGCTCATTTACATCCAATTGCAAACACATCAGAGGAATTTAAGCCTTTAAAGATACGCTCTCAGGTCCAGGAGATTTCAGCACATGAAATGGGAAAGCTCAGACAAAAGCTCTGCTGCAGCCACGACGTGCCAGGGCACAGCACCAGCCTGGGAGCGGGATCCAGGGAATGGCTGAGCTTGGGATCCTCAGGACAGGTCCCAAAAAACATAAATCCAGGGAAAAAACACAGCTCTGCCCACTCACACCATGTCCCAGCCACCACTGAGCTGGCAGGGCACAGGGAAGCAGGGAAGGGCTGTGGTGGCTCCAGCTCTGGAGGTTGGGGCATCCGAAATGCCCCAAAAATGAGTTTGTCCTTAATTAAACCAGAAGAAAGTTTCAGAAAATCTTGAGTTTCTCATATTAAAAAGCAGCACAGCTGGAGAAATACACCAGCATTAGTGACATTTCAGGAATTTTTGGACTTTTTTTAAAAATAATTTGGTCATTATCTCCGAAAGTTTTAATTTATCCTCTTGAAATTTCACAGCTGTTCTACAAAACATACAGCAAATCAAAGTTATGGTTAACAATAGAGTATCTCTGTTCCTCAAAATTAAGTTTAAGGCATTCATTTTCAAAAAATAAACTGCAGTATCTTAAAAAAAAACCAAAAAAACCCAAACAAACAAACAACAAAATAAGCCCAAAAATTCTCAGAACACACATTTAACTAAGGGGTTTTCTTTACTTTTGATCTAAAATAAAGTAAGGCTTATCCCCTAATTCTTTTTGGTGAAATAAAAGTGATGAATAGGACAGAAGTAAGTCCTTTCCCGTCTTGTCACTGAATCCCAGCAGATTCCCAGTAACTCACATCCATGGATAGGAAGAAACTGACACCTATTGGCAACTTTAATATTACTGCATGAAGCTGCCTTCCCTCAAACTACAACAAGAAACAGCTTCTCCCAAGGAGATTTTTCTATAAATTCAGAGATAATATTAGAAAATAATTTAAACTTTTTAAATTGTGACTGAAAATACATTCAGAAAAATGCAGACTCTTTTTAGTAATAAAACTCTGACTTTTCCAAAGTCAATGATGAACTGTAAAGACACATGAAAAAACCCAATGTGCCTAAGGAACAACCAGAAATGAACAGCAGATCACTGTTGATGTGGGTTTCATTGCTGCTGCTGACATGATAACCTGGAACTCCCACCAGAGTGGGACATATTTGTGCAAAATGAACAAAATTGTTCAGCTACTGATGGATGGCAGTGTGGGTGCCCTTCACAATTAGTTACAGCAATAATAAATACAGAAAAGAGTTAAATATTCACAGAGTAGAATTTGGATTTGGGTTAGTTCTTTTGAAACAAATTTTCCTGAAGCTCCAAATGATTCATGGAAACCTGCTTTGAGGATTTAGAAAGAAACAAAAAAACAAACAAACAAACAAACAAACAGACAAAAAAAATCTGTTCTGTCCTCCTCTGAGCCCAAAATTGTACGTACTGGTAACGAAGAATTTTTTGGTGAAAGTGCAGCTGTCAAAGGCGGCGATTTTCTCCTGCAGGACCACAACAAGGATCCTGAAAACACAAAAATGGAAGGTCCACTTTAGACACTAAATGCATTGGTTTAAAGACTCAATATCTAAATGTAATTATTTCAAAAGCATCAATACAAACTGCGCAGTGATGAAGTGCCAGGCTACCAATCCCTGGCAGTTATTGAGGGCTCTCTCTCCTCCCAACCACATAAACTCCACTTCAGGAAGTGCAGGGCTCTGATCCACAGCAGCACAGCACATTTGTGATATAGCTCTGGCAGTCAGAGCTCCATTAAAAAGCAAGAATGGAGATGCAAAGACCCTGAATTACTCTCACTGACTCAAACAACACTCAACCATCGGCAGAACACGAGCTAAATGTGAAATAATCCCATTGCCCACCTCAGTGCACAGTTATTAAAACATTTTTGTTACTTCAAGCAGGAGGGAGTGTAAAGAACACCAGCACACAGAGCTGAGAGAAGCAGAATTTGGGTCAATTAGCAAATTAAAGATGTATTTTTATGTGTTTGCTTGTACACTACACACTTCTATTGTAAAGGCCAAAAACCACAGGATAACTACACAGGAAACACGCTGCTGCCTCAAAAAACAGAGCTCAGAGATGCAAATGTGGAAGCAGAGCACCATCTTGGAAGTTTCAGAACCAGGGAACAATTTCTCCCACACTAATGACTTCCCAAAATCAAATTTTTAAAAGCTTGACATGAAAGAAGCACCTGGGAAAGCAACACATAAAACCTACATTTAGCAATATGACAATTAATAATCTGTTATTCTCTCATTAGGCAGACTGTGAGAAAGTATTTTTTAATTAGTTGTCAATATAGAGCATTGTTAAATATTGTTTTAATAGTTTTAATTGTAAAGGTACAAAGTGGAAAAAAATTAATCACATCTCTCACTGACTAAAACACACACCTAATGCTTCATGTGAACATTATGATTGTGTGTTACAGCCTGGAACAGTCACCTTTAAAAAGGGGATGAATCACCTCAGTCTCGACTCATATCCTTGGGGAAAGGGTGATGATTATCTCCCAGCAGTGTGAAATCAGCCTTTAACCCCTTTTTCCCTATTTTTATCTGTTTTGCCACAAGAACATTTCCTCTTATCCCATGAGAACTCAATACCTGTGAAGGACTACACTAAAATCAAAATATACACCATCCCCTCATGCTTGCTGATGTTTTCAGGTATGTAAAGAATATAAATTAGTTTTGGACACATTAATAGTTTTATTTAAACAACAACTTCCAATTGCTGAAACTGCAGGAGAAAAAAACTGAAGAAAATATATCAATTCTAACTTTTTCTACATTGCCTAAAATAAAGGAAACCAATGAATAATGGGAAGGCCTTGGCTGCAGGTGGAAGCATGTGTATATATTGGAAACCTATGGATATTTGATGGGAATATTTCCCAGTCCCAAAGATTTTTGTTTTCTCCTCCTTGAAGACACCCAGATGGATGATTCCAGAGGTTTTATTGATCTATTTATTTTTAGTAGCAGTTTACACTTGAGTTGCACACTCATCTATTTCCCATCTGCAACAAAACCAGGCACAAAAACCAAACCATTCTGAATTTCCCAGTGATTTGTGTTACTGTTTACTGAAGGACCATCCATTCTGGCATGGCAATTTGGATTTCCAAAGAAATGCAGTAATTTCTTCATCCAGGCTCTACCTTTAGCCCAGGATTTGCATTGCACCATCCCCCAGGGCACCTGAGGCCACAGTGACTCAGGGCAGTAATGGGAGGGTGAAGGGAGCAGGAACATCAGCAGGGCTTGAACCAAAGTCACCACTCCAAATTCTCCCATCAGCAGTGCCAAGGGATCAGCAGGATCCTCACACAAGGATCCTGGGATTTTTCCTCTGCCTTAAAAAGATGTGGCAAACTACAGAGCAAACCACAAAACTCCAGTTCTGTGTGTCTGGGAGAGATGGGGATTTCACATTAACTCAGCAAAATTTGATTCCATGGACACAACAGATGCTGTTCTGCTGGAACTCTCTGATCCTCAGCCTCCAGAGCCATTTTCTCTCTATCCCAACCCAGAGATGCTTTGTTACTTGACTCACTGGAACGTTATTCCCTGCAAACCACAGACTGCACACCAGGAATGTTTTGGATGTGCAGGGACGCAAAATCTGACAGACCAACACAAAGAAGAGAGATATAAACTCCTTAGTGCTCTGTGCTGTCTAAACTCTCTGTGATCCCATTTCCCCAGCTGTAGGTGGATCATCGAGGATTTCAGCAGTTCCTGCTCACCCTTTAGCACAACTGAAAGAAGCTTAAATGATTTTTTGGTTTGAGCTTCTTAAACCAAAGGCATGGGGGAAGGACATTGATGCATTCCAACTGAAACACTCTTTGAGAAATGGAGAATCAGGGCTGTGCTCACAGGAGAGTAAAAAAAAAAAGAACATCAGGGAGGTCATACATCAGAAATTTATTTATTACCAAAATCTGGCATGGCCTAACACACAAGGAATGCAGAGTGAGCACCCTTACCTTTTATTGCAATGCAGGTCATAAATAGGAGTTTTGAACTGGATGGACTTGACCATCTCTCCTGTTCTCAGGGAATACAGATCCACACAGCAGTAGGGTGGGCTGGTGCTGAAAGGAATTAAAAAAAAAAAAAAAAGTATTTTAATGGAAATCAGGATATTTTAACAACTGGGGTTTAATTCTTACGGCCTCCTTATGTTGCTTAGCATGCTAAAGGAAAAGTCACAGAACCACAGAATTATTAAGGTTGGAAAAGACCTCCAAGAATATCAAGTCTGGACCCAGAATTCCAGCAATCCCAGCAGAATCCTGGAGAACAAAGGGTCAATATAAACCTTCTACATTAAGGAGAAAAACTGAATTATGACCTCCACAACAGCCATCAACCTGTGTTGTGCAACTGATTATCACACACTTGGTTTCTTTTACCACCAGTAAGACTTTGGAAGTTTCAAACCACATCCTAGTACAAAACTACTCCTCAGAGTAACTCTCTCCTCCAGGGAGGACTTTCCCCAGAGCATCAGAGGAAAGCCCTGCCTTGGACTGATGGAGACACCTCACCCAGAATTTACATTACATCCCTGATGGAGTTTTGTTTGAACCGTCCAGATCTTTCCAACTGCTTTGTGTCACTTTTATCATTTTCATATAAATAAAAGCTTTAAGGCCATTTCTTAATAAAAAGGCTGAGTGGGAAAAGTGCTGAGTGTTCGATAGGGCCGAGGAAGGCAGTGGTGGAAACCCTTTTAGAGGCTGAGGAGAGGCTTTGATGTGGCAGCTCTGCTCCACAACACCTTTCTCCCCCTCCAAGAACGCATTAAAACCTTGGCTATTTCTAGGTCAAGGAATATGAAGGAGCACAAATTGCCAGCTGTACAAACATATCCTGAGCATTGGTAAAAGAGGGTGTTCCCTCCTGCCCGTATCTGTTTTATTTTACAGACTTTCACACAATTCCTGCCCCAGCACTCGCTTGTCTCTTGGATTGCCTCAAGCTGCTCGAGAATTTTCTGGAAAGCTGGAGGACAAATGCCAATTTGTTTACCCCCAATGCCTCAAGATATTAAAGTGGTTTATACAGTAATGTATAATATACAGTAAATGCACAGCAAGACAGCTGTCAGAAAAATAATAGAAAAAATAACTTTTGACATTTTGCCCGCTGAAATTTTTCCCAAAATATACATTTTTCTAGGCTAATAACTAGAGGGTGCAATTTATTACTTCAAGCACTTCAAAGGCCCTTCAAAAACACCTTTAAACCAGTGAAACTCAAGTCAGTTCCTTCACATTAAAGTCCACTGCTGCTCAAAAACACAGAAAACTACTGCAAGATCTATGTACAAACTTTTTAAAATTAAGTGATTTAGTACCTTTAGCAAATTATAATATTGATAGAAGGGGAATTTCAAAACAGAAATCTCCAAGTAGATATAGTTAAAATTATATCAACACAATTAATAGTTATTACTATTTTCATATCAGCCTGTTTTGAACAATTTTTCTAATTTATGAGTAATAATTCTCTCACTCAAATGCATTATTATTATTATTATTATTATTATTATTATTATTGCTTAATTATTATGATCTCTTGGCTGATCATGGTAAGACCATTCTACCAATGCTTTTGTCAACAACGCTGGGTAAAAACTTGAGTTCAAATGCCAATAATCAAGGAATGTCACAGAATTCCACACTGGGTTGGGTGGGAAGGAAGCTTAAAGCTCATCCAGTTTACAGGGACACCTTCCACTATCCCAGGTTGCTCCAAGCCTTGTGCCCTGGCCTGGAATATTTTATAGGGGTAGGTCAGAAATACTCTGAAATTCTGTCACAAATAAAATAATTGTCAATTAGTCCCATAGGTTATCAACAAATATTCATTATGTATCCTGATTGCTCAAACAACCGCAGAGAGATCAACAACTTCTTTAAAGGTAATGGACACAAATCCACCAACAAGTTAAAAACGTGGCAATAATAAATGTATAAATACACCCAGGCCTTTGTATCTTCTCCTGTTTAAAGATGCTGCAGTGCAGGGATGGAGGGGAAACAGCAGATGCCTCATCCAGCTGGCACTTGGTGACATCTGTGCTCGTGCTCCACGACAGCATCACCTCCTCCCACATCTGCTGGGTCCCACCATGGCAGAAAAGCTCTGTGCAAAATGTTTGCACAGAAACAAACACACCACTCGAAACACTCGTGCTTTTTTAATGGGAAAAAAAATGTAAAAAGGAGAAGAGTGATGGAATCAACATGAGGCCAATTTTTCTGTGCCTCAAAGGCTTTGCTTTGTTGTCAAGAGTTGATTTTCCTCCACTCTGCCACACGATGAACATCCCACTCCAAGAGAGATGGACATCAGTGACAGGTTGGTCTCATGAGTCTAGAAAGGAAAAAGGAGCTTGGAGATGTAAAACTGAAATAAAACTTTTGCTGGAAAAGCTGCCCTGTATGAAAAGTTATTTAAGTGAGGAATTTCCAGTCAATTGTGGTCTTTAATAAAATCATCTTTGGTCAATATCACTGCATTTTACACCACCTTCACAAAGTTTTTTTGAAGCTCAGTCTAAAGCACAGACTTTTTTTTATTAATTACTTTTGGTGCCTTTAAGAGGGGACAAAAATACTGAAACTTACACTGAAATCCTATTCAAAGCAACTAATAGATCAACATAATCTCTTACTAGGCCCAGCTTTAACAACCTGAGGATTAAAAAAAAAAATAGAATTTGCTGTAAATATTAAGTTGCTAAGAGCTTGAAATGGAATATTATTTCCAAACTTGTAGAAACAACAGGTGAGAGAAAAGTGATAGCAATTCCAAGGAACTGGCTGTTCAAGGTATATCCAAAGGATCTGCACAGCAAACTACCCCACAAAGTTATTTTTTTAAATTACTACTCCATAAAGCTTCAAATCTAGCAGTAAGTTGCTGGGAAAAAAAGGCTATTTCCATTGGGAATGAGGAGGATGCTGACAGTGACCCAAGATTTTAATCAGCAGAGGTGGTTACAATTCTCCTGTTTTACCTCTCTGGTGCTTCACAGAAGGGGAAGAGAAGCAAAACAAAACCAAAGCACAGAGTTAATTAATTGAATATTGGAAAAATTCCTGCCTGAACCTTTACACTGCAAAGTTGAAGCATGAGATTTGATTATGATCTTTGTAGCAATAATATGAACATGGTGAGACCACAAAGGCAATTCTGTTCTCCTCAAGGGCCCTGAAGAAGGTTTGCTCAGATTAGCAGATTTCAATTCTGGAAGGATCATCTTCTCTTTCCAAGCCATGCACAAAATGTCCCAGAAGCTCAAAGAAATGATTTTTTACAAAGCAACCTAATCTTGTCTTAAAAGATTTTGACCAACAAAGAGTCCTCTATTTTTATGGTGACTGATTCCAACATTTTTATCCTTTTATTTTTATGAAATGACTTCTTAGTGCCTGATAGAATTGGTACATATTCTGCTTTTTGGCTTCTGTGTCTCTGTCAAGGACACAAAAAGGCTCATTGCCTTCAGTTATCTTTTGCCAGTAATCACCCAGAGCAATCCAGGCACCCAGAAAGTGAAAAAAAACTTTAACGCCTTAAGTTGTAAGGTTTGTTTTCCAGGCCTAGCATTAAACTCCTCTAAGCCCTCTTCAGCAGGGTAGTTCTCCCCTTCTTTCTGAGGGATGCACAACAGAATGAAAACTTCAAAAAGTAATAAATTCACCACTGCAGAAAGAGCTTTCATTAGGACTTCCATCACGTAAAGGCTCTCTGTGTCCTGTCTTTTCACGATAAAAGCCTGACAACTCCACTCTGTAAGTAATTTTCTAATTCATGGTACTTAACAGATTCATTCAGAATCAAGAAAAGCAGCACAGAATTTCTCAGAAAGTGACACTTCCCCCAAATATGTGTGCAGCACTGAATTACAAAGCAGCAGAGACATTTTAAGTGCACCACAAATTGCAAAAAGCATGGAAACACTTATTTCCAAATAAGAAAAACCTGTACCAACCTTAGACACATGTTACTAAATCTAATCCTTTAAATACAAGGGAGGGAGTTATTTGATACAGCACTAAAACAGTTGTGTTAAACATCAGGAGATACAAACTTCACTGTTGCATCTTCCTCAAATGTTTTGATCAAGTCTATCAGCCCTGGAAAAAAGTTCACCTTATCTTTGTACTTCACCATCTTCACTTCAGATTATTTTTATTACTTGCCCATGACACAAGAAGTCACCAACTCTGCAGAAATCATTTTTTAATAGGTAAAATGAGTCAGGTTTCAGGCTCAAGAATCTGCTTTTTTTTGATGATAAGGAATAATTTTATTTCTTTTAGTTCATCATTGAGGCATTTCTTCACAGGGCAGGGTCTAACTGCTTCTGGAATGAGCCAGGAAGGCCTGGCTGAAGGACTGCTTGAGGGATTGAAGGACTGCTTTCTGTCTCCTGAATAACTCTGGCCATGGTCTGTGAGAGAGCCTGAGGCTCCACAGAGTTCTCCACGGTGACTTTTCCAGTTCTGAATACTTTCAACAACCATTAATCCATTGCTGTTCCATGAAACCAACAACTCCCTCATTCCCCAGCTGGAGCTGAGGTGTCAGACATCAACTAGAGGGGGGAAATTTAAGACTGGGTTTGAGTAAATATTGATTATTGCAACAGATACTAAGAGAGAAAAGTAAAAGGGGAATCCTCACAAATATCAGAATACTTAAAAATCCTTAAAAATGTCAGAACAGCAACCTCCAAACTCCTCACTTCAGCAGCTCTTCCCACATCCAGCAGCACATAACATGTTTTGACTGTTGTGCTCTCTGCTATCCCCTCACTCATCATCAGAAGATTCTTTCTAGGTTTGAGGGGGTTTCATTGGGTTTGTTTTTACATTTCAGGACTCATGGAGCTGACGAGAGCCACCCAAGAGCCCAGAGCCACCTCGGTGTCACCGGCATGTGGCACTGCCCGTGCCGAGTGTAAAACCCTGCACAAGCTGCCTCCTCAGCTGTGGCCTTTGCAGGGACACCCGAGTGTGACACACTTTCCACTTCACTGAGACGTGCCACATGTTCCAAAACAGAGCTGTCCCAT